CTCTCTCTCTCTCTCTCTCTCTCTCTCTCTCTCTCTCTCTCTTTCTCTCTAACATGAGATGTCCTCCCCAGCCCCCCGTCTTTATTTCTGCTGGAGTCTGTGACCTCCCAAAGTCATTATTTGGAGTGTCCAGGCACCTTTTCCTTGGCTATACCAGGTTCACCTGGGAGCCATTTTTTGAGGTCCTTTGTTTTCTCTTCAACAAGTTTCTCCCACAAGAGAACGGGTAGACAAAAAAGCAGAGCATTTCTGCCCAACCTGCCCTGTGAAGACTGGACAATCTCCCAAATAAGCAGCACAAATATTAGACAAAGGGGGCATTTGGGGAGCGCAGAGGAGGGGCACCTGGCAGCTGTCTAAGGCCGTCTTCAGCTTCTCAATGCCCTCTGTGATCTCCTCCTGTTTGGAATGACTGAGCTGAGTCTCCTTCTGCAGGGTCCATTTTTTCTCCTGAAAGTTGATGTTGTCCTCAGCAACCTGAGTAATCTTTTCTATTAACTAGTGAAAAAAAGAAAAAAAAAGATTTAACATGCAGGGTGGCCCTGGGAGGAGGGGGCTGGGGAGCGCCAACGGAAGCCCCCCGTCTCAGCAGGCGAGAAGGAGGCCCTGACATGTTTGGGCGATGGCTCTGGAGGAGGACACCGGCTCTGTCACCAGGACACAATTCCTGGGATCACAGATGATTTTTAAGAGCCCATGGCCTGTATGGTTGCCATGAATTCGTGCTAGGTTTTTCTGCCTTCTAGGAGTGACTCCTCACACAGCCAGACGCGATGGGATCAGGGAGAAGGTCAGGTGCTCGGGCAGCCTGTGAGAGGCAGGTGTTTCCGCCCGCGTGTTGACACACAGGGTTGGAAAGAACAATGAGGCGGTCATTACAGCCAGAAGGCCACCCTCACTGCCATCTTCCTCTTTCTCAAGGAAGACGCCAGAACGCATGGTCTGTGGTGAGGCAGCCCTTTCCTCACAGTCTAATGAAGGTGAAACGTGCGTGTCTGGTGACCAGAAATAGGCCTGATGGGTTTAATTTGATTTTCATAGAAACATTTCAAGGGAGTTTAACGGGCTTTTTCTTTAAAAGCCAGGAAATCCCATAAAATCAAAACAAATCTTTATGGTGTAGTGACAGCGTGACAAATATGTGCCACCAACAAAAAACAGGAACATATGCTCCCAGTGTCTGCAGTCTGGGTCCCCCAAGAAGAAAGTGCAAGATCCAGATGAACCTGTTGATCGGTGACGGGCTTGTCCAGGAACGGCTTCGCTCGTCCGTAGGTGGCCTTGACGACTTGACTCCTGAAATGCTCCAGCTGCAGCACAAAGGGAAAGCACCTGAGTCAACGGGGGCAGCCGGAGCTGGCAGGCCTAGGGGCGCCATCTCCATCACAGGGGTCCCGGAGAAATCCGTTAGAAGGGTCTACACACCTTCAATGGTCATTACGGGCTATTAAACTCTCCGCCTCGCACTGGAAGGGGCAGTGCCCACAGAAGGGAAGGGAACAGCAGGTTTTAATTACTTTTTAGGCCTGCCTGCCTAACCCAACTGACGCACGTGGTCAGCACACACGTCTCAGGCCCTCAGAAGAGCCACTCGCTGCCAATTATCCAGTGGGAAGCCTGGGGCTGGGAGCACTCTTCCATGATTGCTAAACTGGCACCAGGCTGTGAAATAAATATTGAGGCTGTCAGCCCAAGTAAATTGTGTAATCAGCAAGAGTGCCTGGGGAGAGAAGAACGCGGTCCCTTCTGCCATCTTGTGCCTGAGGCCGGACATGGCCCAAAGACTCTGTCTACCGTCTCCATTCTTGGACCCCAGGGCCTGGTGCAATGCCTGGCACAGAGGAGACCCTCAGTGGCTATTCCCCGAATGCTTGTGCACAGAAGCATCTGTCAGACAGGGCCCTTCACTCCAGCCCAACTGCTTTTGTTCAGTGCCTCCTTAGTGCTGCTGGTTTCAGATTGCGGTTGAGGGAACAGCACGGTTGAATTAAATCAGGGCTTATGGAATTATAAGTTCAAGGTGTCCTAGGTTCCATGAGAAGCGAGAGGCAAAGAAGCCCAATTTTCTCTGGGAATTTACCAGTACAGCGGCCCTTGGCCTGGGTTTTTGGTTCAGTGGTAAAATGTGGTCGTTGAAGACTCTAAAACAGTGTCCTGAAAGGACTGGAAGGGCCACTGAATCAACTTAAAAGTCAACAGGTCCCGGGCCGGCCGAGTGGCGCGTTGGTTAGAAGTTGGCTTGGGATGCCAGCTCTGAGCAGCAGGGCCCCCGTTCAGATCCCACATGAGGGCCAGTGACGCTGCGCCCGCTACAGCTAAGAGGGTGAACAACAGCTCCACCTGGAGCTGGGCTGCTGTGAGTCACCAGCGACGGCATAAGCTACTGTGAGTGGCCGCAGCCAGCGTGAGCTGCCATGAGCCGCCGTGAACGGCCATCCAATGGCCGGCGAGTGACTGGCTCACCCGGGAAGAGCACAATGATAATACCGACATGGGCCAGTGAAGCAACGTCCTCCACAACTAGACTGAAGAACAAAAGGACAGCAACTTGTCTGTTTCCCTTCCCCGATTCCCCAATGCTGTTCCCCTCCTCCAATTCCCCAATAAAATCTTAAAAAAAAAAAAAGTCAACAGGTCCCAAAACACAGGAGTTTACCACACACCGTGGCATTCTGGGATACCAAGTATTGGAATGGTGACTCCCCTAAGAACATCCTTGTGGTCAGCATGCTAGAAGCCAACTGCGGTGCCTCCAGGCTGTCCTCTGGCTTCACGGCCAAGGGGAGGGTCCTAACTCGCCCAAGGAAGAGGTTACGTAGAGAGGGCCCTGTGATTGATGGTCCCCATTACCACCAGAGGCCCCCACAGGACCACTCCAGGACAGGTTCTCCTGGACGATGGGCTGTCCTGGAGTCGCTTGTCTGGGAGAGGGCGAATCTGAGACGGCGAGCAGGGCCATGGGGTCAGGAAGTGAGGGGGAATGTTTGGGAGGCACAGAGGGCTCATCCTCTCGAGTCTAGACGTGGAGGAATGTCCGTGTCTCGAGGGTCCTCCCGGATGACCTCTGCCCAGAGTCACAACCAGGACCTTGGCACTTGGGCAAGTGGCACAGATCATGCCCTCAAACCAGGTGTGTGTCGGGTTGCAGAGTGCAGGGAAAGGTGAGGGGATGGCACAAAGGGAGGCCCAGATGGGCAGCTTGCCTGCCCTTGTTAAGGGGTTGGTACCCTGTAGGATAAATGACACTGGGGTGGTAATAGTGGATTATTTGTTGAAGGGGCTTTGAAATCTAACCAATATCAGTGTCATTATTTCACTTGTGTGTGCCTCTGACAAGACCCTGTCACACTGCTGGTTCAGGCTCAGACGCTACCAAATGGAAGGACTTTGGGGGCTGGGCCAGGGGGTGTGGAAGGATCCTTAAGGATTGAGGTTCTTAACCTTTTTTGGTGGTTCAGACATCCTTCTGAGAATCCAATGAGCACAATGGTGGACCCTTCCTCCCAGAAATAAAAAGCATGTACACACTAAATGTTCTTGGATGCCCTGGAGCTGTGGTGGCCAGGAGGGGCCCCTCGAGGAGGAGTCTAAGGTGGGCTGCCCTTGGTGGGCCGTATTCTGGAGGGTCGGTGCCCCCATCCTGCTTCCCGTTTGGCTGCCTTGGCCTTTGGTGAAGTCTTGTTTGCATGTTCTGGCCCTCACGGCTGTGCCACTGGGCCCTCTTGGGCGAGAGCATGAGAGAAATGGCACCCCCAGACCAGAGTCTGCCCACCGCCCTACCCAGGGACGTCTCCATCTCCCATGAGCTTTGACATTCTGGGGTTTTACTTTCTTAAGAAAAGGTGGCATTTCCTCATGGACACTGATGGTGACATCAGCTGGGGGCCCGCAGGGAGAAAGAATGGGGTGCGTATCAGGATGAAAAATGATAGGGAGAGAGTACTAGAAAAACAATTGGGGTCAAGAGGCTCAAATCCTTCCCAGGAGGGAACTGCGCGCTGGCTAACCAAGCCTGGCACTACTTGGTGAGGGTCTCGGGCAACCGCAAACGACCAGAGCGGGCAGCTTCCCAGCAGGAAAATCCCCTTCAGGGACGTCCTTTGGGATGCAGAAGCCACACAAGGCTTCTTTCCATGAGATAAATGGGAGAATTATACCACAGCCATCTTCCTCCTCACTCATCCTCACCAGCCACTTGGGGGCAGAAAACCGTTGGGGAACACGGGCCAATGAAAGGGACGCTGGAGCACGCCTACCTGACCTACCGCCCTTTCCAAATTGACTCTAATGAGGTCCTCTCTGTTCCCCATTTCTTGTAGCTGAAGCAATTTCCTTCTGGAATCCTCCTGAAGCTTCTCTTCAACCTGAAAGGACGATTGAAAGCATGCGCTTGCTGCTAATGTGATCCTAATGCACTCTGGCGAAGTTCCTCTAGGAGGTCTAATGGCTGGGGGAGGCCCCGAAGGGTGGGGACAGCTGCAGCCCCTGTGGCAGGGGTCGCAGGCGTGCCCGCGGTGGAGGCAGCCTCGTAGGGCTCCGTCTCCTAGGGGAAGGGGCCGAGCTCTGCATCCAGCGCTCAGTTCATCTTGCCTGACCTCAGACGCCAATCCCAGCTTGGTCTCTCAGAAGCCGTGTGGCCCTGGGAAAGTTATTTCACAGCTCTGTGACTCAGTGTCCTCATCTGTCAAGTGGGAGTGATACTAGTGCCGCCTCATAGAGGTGCCGTGGAGATTCGTAATGTTGGCTCTCATGCCAGTACCTCTGAAGGGCTTTGCGAGTGTGCTGGGTATTGTTGTAACCCTGTAAAGGTGGACGGGAACGTCTACCATGCAGCCTCACTCTAGTGCCATTAGCAACTGGCCCATGATGGGTGCTTGGTAAATGTTATCATTGGCTTTGTCATCGTAACTATTTGTCGTTACCACTTTTAGCACACTCACCAGTGGAATCCACTCTTGGAGGTGTTTAAAGTGGGGAAACTTGTCTCTTGATTCCCCCTGGCTTGGGCAATAGTCAACTGGAGGGGAACCTGGGGTGCTCAGTGCTTCCCTCTGCTGGCCATTATAGGACCCTGCAGCTCAATTCATTTTCGAACAATACACATTTTGGGAGCACCTGCTGAGCCCGGGGCTCTGGCGCTATCGGGGAAATGACACAAGCTCTCCTAAATAAGTGCAAAGGTTTTGTATTGAAACAACCCCACAAACTGTTTATTAGGGAGCTGAAGTGGGGGGTGTCACACAGACGTAACAAAAGACCCAGAAAAGCCCTGTAGAGCTTTCTTCTGCGTGGTGTGGGACACCGGGAGAGCCTCTAGCTAGTGATGTTATTTTGGAAAAGCCATCTCACCTCTCCAGGCCTCCTTTCCTCCCTGAGCAACGCTCCCAGCTTAAGCGCACTCTGACCTTAGTTCAGCAGGCTTTTTAATACGCTACAAAAGCCAAGCCCGACCCTGGACTCTGCCCTGGTCTGTGTTCCCCATCTCATGAAACGGCCCCCTGGACCCCCAACCCCAAGCCTCGGCGTCATCTCCAGCTGCTGCCCTGCTCCCTCTCTCACACCCCGTCGCTCCAATCCCTCTGACGTCCCCTCCTCTTCTCTGTTCCCACCCTGTGCAAGTTCCTGGCTAGGCACTGAGAACTTTTGGTCTGTGATAAGTGGCTCCTTGCCTCTAGTTTATTTCCTTCCAGAACATTCTTCATGGTACCGTGAGAGTTACCAAGCTGTCGAGCAGCTCTGTCAGACAGAGCTTTCTGCAATGATGGAAATGTGTCGTGTCTGTGTGGTCTGGCATGGCAGCTACTAGCCACATCTGGCAATCAAGCGCTTGAAATGTGGCTGGTGTGGCCGGGGAGCTGAATTTCATTTAATTTTGATAAATTTCCACGTAAACAGGCACGTGTAGCCAGTGGCTATGTCCCAGTCACTGGAGTCAGACAAACCCAGCTTCCAGTCTCGGTTTCACCACGTACTGACTGTGGCTTTGGGCTCATTGCTGTACTAGTAACTAGTAGCCTTGATTAAAGTCAGGGTAATTTCTAGATCATGGAGCTGTTGTGAAGATGAAAAGAGATGAAATGTTTGGCATCCTGCCTAATGCACGAGAAATCATAGCTATCATCTTCACCGTTATTATTAATCACAAATGTAATCCTATATGTCTCTCATTCAGGGGCCTTCCTTTCAGCAGCGACTCAGTGCCCAGGTTGGGGGGAGCCCGAGCGCCAGAACGAACGCAAAGCACCAAATCAAAGATTCAAGAAGCCCTATGAACTCCAAACAAGGCAAATGAAAACGAATGCACCACACCCACATAAATCATAATAAAACATCTGGAAATCAAGGGAAAGGAGATTCTTAAAAGCAGCCTGAGAAAAGAGATTACGAGAAGGTACAATAGTCAGGCTTGTCAATCACTCGTCCATAGAAATACAGGAGATAAAAACCAACAGAATGACGTATGTCGTGCTATCTATAAAGCGCTGAAAGAAAAGACGGGCCAACGTGGAATTCAATACTCAGTCAAAATGTGTTTTAAGAATGAAGGGTAAATATACATTCTCAGACACACACACACACACACACACACACACACACACACGCTCCCCTGAGAGAATTTGTCATCAGCCGAACCGCACTGAAGGAAAACACGAGAGGGTGTTCTTCAGACAGAAGAAAAATGATCCCAGATGGATAATCAGAGGTAATAGAAAACACAGGCTGTGGAAAGGATAATGTGTGGGGATGAATATATAAAAAGACCAATAATGTCTTTTGGGGTTTTAAATATAAATAATAGGTTAGACAATGCAAACAGTGGCATAGAGACCTGGAAGGGGTGAGTGGCGTCAAAGTGTTCTAAAGTCATTGCATTGTCAAGGGCATAATGATCAACCCATCCTGGATCTTGGTGACACAAGAGTGCGTGTTAGAGTCTTTAGCATGACCACTGAAAGAGTGCAAAACTCAACTGACATTGGATTTTGGTAAGTCAAGGGCAAATGCTACTGCCTTACTATTACTGAAAGTAGAATTAAAGAGTGAAACATTTCCAAGCTAATAGAGAGAAAAAAATGGAATGATGGAAAACCAACCCAAAAGAACACAAGAAAGGAGAGAAAAGGAAATATAGTACAGCTGCTACAAATGGCATTGAGCAAGAGGGTCAATGTAAAAACCCCACTATACCAGCGATTGCGTTGTATACATGCAGGCTGAAAGACTGTCAGACTGGATTTTATAAAAATGGCACGCTATTTAGAAGAGATATATCTAAAACTTAAAACAGAGACTGACAGAAAAATTATGAGAAAGATACGCCATGAAAACCCTAACCAACAGCAAGCCGGCGTAGCTGACGGAGTTGCATTTATGACAAAGTGGACGTTAAGGGAAAAACATGGCTAGCGATAAAGAGGGACGCTTTATGATGATCAAAGGGTTTTTCCAAGGGGAAGTATTAAAATTCTAAATTTATACACACCTACCGACACAGTCTCAAAACATAAAAGGCAAAAATAGGCAATATTAAAAGAAGAAATGCACAAATCCATGATCAGGATGGGATTTTAAGAAAACATAGCTCTCTCAGTGACTGACAGAACACACAGACGGAAAAATCAGTAGGAGACCTTACGTTAGAACCACATCACTGGCAAACCTGATTTAATGGATCAATTCTTTTCGGGATAATTTTACAGTAAGATCTGAAGGCGGTCTAGGGTTACTGGTGACACGTGGGGGCTTTGAAATCATAGGCCTGGATTCAAGTTCTGTCACAACTACTCTATCTGAGTGAACTTGGGTAACGTCCTTCACCCCTGTGAGCCTCAGTTTTCCCAACTGTAAAGTGGGGGTAACACCAGTAGAGACCACACAGGGGCATTGTAAGGACTAATGGAGACGATGTGTGCGGAGCGCCTGGCCCAGGGTGCTCGCCGGGCCCATTCTGTCCAGGCCGTACCTTGCTCTTTTCTCGAAGTGTCTTGGAGATCATGCTCTGCTCAGCACTACTCTTCTTCAGCTCCTCCCTGAGCTTCTTCATTTCCTTTTCCATGTCTTGGATTTGCTGAAAGAGTTTCAACAACAGGGATGTCAACTTCCCTGAGGGCAGGCACAGCTGCCTTCTGGGCCGAAAGGGCCAATTCAGAACTCATTTCATGGTTCATTAAGGCTAGTGGGGTATTAGCTTAATTCCTTTGCTTGGGGGAAAAATTATACATCTGTAGAGCAAAGGAGGCTTTTTTTCCCAGTGGATATTGGGTAAAGAAAAATGATTAGTTTTGATGGAAAATCAGCACGGACCCTGGATTAAACACTCCAAGCTATCCATCAACTCATTAGAATCTCTTTTCTTGGGGTATATTTTTGAGATCAATCTAAATAAGGGCTGTTTGGAAGACACCGTGGGCACAGTTTGGAAGAAGAGAACAATGAAATTTTTCTTTTTTCCCATTTGAGGCAGAGAACAGAAATGCTCCTGACATGGAGAAAAGCATGACTCCCCATGTCTGAGGTGCTGTGCTTCCCAGCGAATGGAACCCATACGCCTGGTGACGTATAAGAGGGTCCTGCTGACCGAGGAAGTAAACGTTTTCCTTGTAATGGTCATTTGTTCATTGTAGTTATTTTTATAGTCACTTATATAGGGCAAAAGATGCCTTTTAGTTTTGTTTTATAAATTGGTGTATTTAAATAAATTGATGTATTTAAATACAAATACCTAGGAATTTTGTGTCAATAATTGTGCCTGATGAATTGTAATGATGAAATGTCAATAATTGTAATGATAAAAGTGTGACAGTGGGGGCCGGCCGAGTGGCGCGTTGGTTAAGAGCTGGCTTGGGACGCCAGAGGGCCCCGGTTTGGATCCCACGTATGAGGGCCAGTGACACTGTCCTCCACAGATAAGATGCTGAACAACAGCTCAACCTGGAGCTGGGCTGCCGTGAGTCGCCGGCGACGGCATAGGCTGCAGCCCCTGTGGCAGTGGGTTGCTGTATGTAGCCAGCAGCCAGCGTGAGCGGCCAGCAGCCGCCATGAGCGGCCATCCAGAAGCCGGCGACTGATCTGCCTCGCCTGGGAAGAGTGCAATGATGGTGCCAACTTGGGCCAGTGAAGCAACGTCCTCCACAACTAGANCTGGCCAGATGCCTGGGTGCAAGGACATCTGTGGTGGCGAGGGCATCTGTGTCTGGTTCGGGTGAGGTGGCTGTGGCCTTGGCCAAGGTGCTGGGCCCCTCGCCCATGGGAAGGAGACCTGCAGGGATGGACAAGAGGGTCATGGGAGGTTACGATCAGCTGGGGTGGTCGCCACCCCTTTGTCTCAGCCTTAGGTCTCAGCTTATAAGTCACTTCCCCCAAGAAGCCCTCCCTGACTCTCTCTCCAAGATTGGGGTGGTGGTCCCCACCATGGGTCTCACTGAGCACTGTCGCACCACCATTTACTGGGTGCAGCCTTCACGGCAGGCACCCAGCCAAGAGGTTCCCATGCATTAACTCTTGAATTCAAACGACACTCTTCGATGAGACTGAGGCTGAGCAATACCTAGTGACTTCCCCAAGGTACCAGTTTTGCTGGTGAGTTGCTGAGCTGGCAGAATGTCACCTCTAAGAAGACAAGGGCTTTAGTCTATCGTGCCCACCATGTATCCTCCGTACCTTGAATAAACGTCTAGCACATAGAGTAGGCCCTCAAATACTGGATGACAGAATAAATGAGCCAATCACCCAGATTCAAGCCCAACTCACCAGGACCCCACAGCCTGCTTTCTTGCCATCTGCACTACGGGTCCCCCCGGCACTTCTGCCCCCTGAAGCTGAGAGCTCTGGGGTGGCAGGGACCCTGACTGTCTCATTAACCTTTTTTTTAAAAAAAGATTTTATTGGGAAATTTGGGGAGGGAACAGTGTTGGGGAATCGGGGAATGGGAACAGACAAGTTGCTGTCCTTTTGTTCTTCAGTTTAGTTGTGGAGGACGTCGCTTCACTGGCCCATGTTGGTATTACGATCATTGTGCTCTTCCAGGGTGAGGCAGTTGCTCACTGACCATTGGACAGCCGCTCATGGCAGCTCACGAAAGTGCATGTCAGCTGCCAGCCAGCCCCACTGCAGCCTACANCGGCTGGCATTACCAACTGCTGCCAAGGGTCTTTCTCTGGGTCTCTGCAAATGCCTGTGGCGAAATGTCACGGGACATCATCAAACAGTCTGTACTCCTGGGCGGCCTCTCTTGTTCCACCCCATTATAAGTCACACAGCCAGGTGCCTATTAATTACTCATACAACAAACATTTACTGAGCAGCTACTATGTGCCAGGCCCCGTGCTGGGTGCTGGAGTATAAAAAAGCCTGCAGGGTGTGGTGTCCAGCTATGGTTCCTGCCTTTCTGGGTGAGGACCCCTGCGCCCTTCCTTGAGGGAGTGTTCCCCCTTCCATGTGGTCTTGGTAGGACTAAAAATGGGGTGCCCTGCTCCTTCCTGTGCCACCTCCCCATGGGCATGTGACCCAGGCTGGTCAATCGGAGTTTTCTCAGAGATGTCGTATGTCCATCACAGAGGGAGAAGGCCTTGACTCCTCTGGGATCATAAACTTTCAATGTATGGCCTTGTTTGCTTGAGCGCGCCTTTTCTAACACACGAAGCCAGCCTGCTATGGAAAGCCAAACGCTGAGGGACACGGGGGAGAGAGTGCTAGTGGGGAGTGTTCTGATGGCATCATTTGAGCTCCTGGATCGAGCCATGCCTGAAGAGAGCAGGCCTTTAAATTTTCCGATAAGATGGCCCAATAAACGCTTTTCTGTTTTTTGGCTTAAGCTAATTTGTTCATTGTCACTTGCACTTGAAGGAGTCCTGGCAAGTCAGGGCATAAATGGCTCATAAATAGAACAAAATATAAGTGTGGTTACATTATAATTCCAGTTTAACAACTGGGCTGGATTGAAAAATGGCTGCAAATACTTTGCAGCTTTTGCCANTGAAGAACAAAACGACAGCAACTTGTCTATTCCCTTTCCCCCAATTCCCCAGCACTGTTCCCATCCCCCCAATTCCCTAATAAAAAAAAAAATCTAAAAAAAAAAAAAGAAAAAGTGTGACAGTGGGATACAAAAGTTTGGGCATCACAGGTCTAGGGGCAGGGGACCACAGTGAATTTCCGGCAGCATGTGCTATTCAGCTGGCCATCTGCCGTCCCTGTCCCCATCCCAACCCCAGTCCAGTCCCATGGGAAGTCTGGTGAGGGGGCTGGAACCAATTGCCCAGAGAATCCCGGGAGAGCATGTTTGCCATGGTCTTTCCACCTATTTCCTCCTTGAGGCTAGAGGCAGCAAATCAAAGCATTATGAGACAACATCAACAAAAAGAACAATCCTAAAGCCCTAGAGACTGTGCTATCTAATGGGCCAAGGACCCCCTCACCGCCCCCCCCAAAGCCTGAAGGTCAAAGTCTAGCCTTTCTGTAGATACCCAGGAATGAGGAAGTTCAACTCACGGATTTGCAGAGTTTCAACTCTTTCTCTTGGGCTTCCCGGTGCGCCTTCTGAGCATCTTCCCTTTTTAACTCCTCGTTCAGCACCGAGCACTGTGGAGAAAAAAGGCAACAAGGCTACATGGGGCTGTCTGGGGTGTCCCAAGTCCCCACGTTGGCCCCTAAGAGCATTTCCTGCGGTTTAATCCAATCACATCCCCAAATTCCCACTTGAGGACTGTATCCTAAGGACAATGACTGGTGAGATCAGCTATCTGTAGGTTCAAGGGTGTGCATCCCAGCATTGCAAGCAACAGAAAAAGAAACAACCCAAGTGTCCAACAACAGGAGGCCACTTTATTGTATTGTGTTCGTCAGGAAAATGTTACGTAGCTTTTAAGACCAATGATAAGAGCTTTCATTTATGAGCAAACAGTAAGCATTTAAAATTTAAAATGTGTACAGTATAAATTCACTGTGATTATATATATATAATTTATTTATATACATAATTTATGTATTTCTAGGTAATATATAAAAACAAGGCTAGAAGAATATACATTAAAATATTAATGTTGATTTCTTGCGGTAGCATTTCTTCTCTTTTTTTAATGTTTCTTTTTAATATTATCTACTTATTTTTCTAAAATTAACACCATGACATACATAATTTAAAAAAAGACGGGCATTCCAAATGTTCCTGAGAGCAATGTCCTTGGTGGTGAGAAGCCTATGTGCTGATGCATGGCACAGGCTAGAAAAGGCAGACCCTATTCCAAGGTCAAGGAGGAAGGAGAAACGGGAGGAAAATAATGCAAATGTACTCCAGGAAGTAGAATAGCCAAACAGGTGCTGTTTTTCCATATTCCTTTCACTTAGCATCAGCTGGACAACCCACCCCCCTCCCGAACACACACTCACACACACACACACACACTCACTCACACACACTCACACTCACACACACACACTCACACACACTCACACTCACACAC